TTGAGATCAAGACCTGCCTTAAAATTAACTTTTTATCGAATATCATACAAATATATGAATTTTTAAAACTAATTAAATACTAAAAAAAAAAAAAGAAAAGAAGAACAATATAATGACGTTTTTATAACCAAGTTCACTAGTATTGAATATTTCCATTGGCTGATAAAGGCGGTTTCTGTAGCTGCTGACAGCTGATATCCCTAGTGGGCAATCTTACCCTTTTGATTACGTCATTTACTTTTCCTGGCATCCAAAATCATTCACGCGGGCTCTCGGCTACTGTGAAAATCCTAATAGCCCAGTAGCTCTTTTCTCTTTCTAACTTTTCAAAACATGTAATCATAGCATTAGATTCAATTAAGAAAATGAAACTGAATGGCCTTGAAAGCATCTATGCTTAATTTGAATTAAGTTTTGTTTAAATAAAATTAAAATGGAAATTTATAAGGCAGAGGGAGTACTTTCATATTGTATTGTATATTTGTATTCTTATCAAATAGTCACGACCCGGATTCCCCATCCTCGGAGTCATAATGGCGCCTACTAATGCGAGCTAGGCAAGCCAATTATTTGCACATTTTACTTTTTTACCCATTTTATATTCATTAAAAGTTTTAAAGTACTAACTTTTAAACAGCGGAATTTAACATAAGCGGAAGATAAAGCAATAAGTTATCTGAACACGAATATCTAATACAACTGTTTGAACCTCGACCACCCAGAATTGGTGTCACAGTATCACCGACGGTCTAAGAATACTACAAATAAAGGTCTGAAAGAAATAAGTACAACACTGTCTCTGCAATACATGAAAGAAACAGGAATAGTAAATGGAAGGAGACGCCAAGGCCTACAGACACCTGCAGGACTACCTCGGGTCGCCTAATGAACAAGAATCAGCAATCCCACTGCGGTCCAAAGTCTACAACACTGGGGTCTGCACAAAAGAGTGCACAGTGTAGTATCAGCACAACCGACCCCATGTGCTGGTAAGTGCCTAGCCTAACCTCGGCGAAGTAGTGACGAGGCTAGGACCAGACTATCAAATAAACATGTGCAGTTGTACAATATACATCAGAAAGTAAAGCAGAAATAAACAAATAAAGATGGGAGGGGGAAACATGCTTCGGGGAATAACAGATAAAACAAAATTTCAAGAGAATTATCAGGAAACCAAAATTCAACTTCTAACAAGGATAAGGAAACAAATGCAGATTTCACTCTCGTTTCACATCTTGTTGCAGGCGTGCAACCCGATCCAATTTCTCATATCTTGTGGTAGGCGTACCACCCGCTCCCATTTCATTATATCTCGTGGTAGGCGTACCACCCGCTCCCATTTTATTAAATCTCGTGGTAGGCGTACCACCCGCTCCCATTTCATTAAATCTCGTGGTAAGCGTACCACCCGCCCCCATTTCATTATACCTTGTGGTAGGCGTACCCCCGCTCCCATTTCATTATATCTCGTGGTAGGCGTACCACCCGCTCCCATTTCATTAAATCTTGTGGTAGGCGTACCACCCGCTCCCATTTACAAGCCAACACAAGATCACAAGGAATCCCGGCAAGGGAACAAAAGCAACATAATAACTCCCCGATAAGGGAACAACAATATCAAGACAAACATCCCGACAAGAAAGGATCAGCTATAACCAATCCTAACTCAACTCCTACTCAGCTATACCCAAACTTGTTCCAACATCTAACTACCTCAGCTATAACTAAACTTGTTACTACACCTAACTACCTCGGCTATACTCAAACTTGTTCCAACATCTAACTACCTCAACTATAACCATAATCCTTACCTAACACAAAGAATCATCAACCTAAGTATCCGCAATATCAATTAAGAACATAATGCAAGGGAACCACAACTCAACAATAGCCCGGCAAGGGGGCAACATAATGATCTCTTCTCTTTCTCACTTTTACTTCACAATTCACTTCACAACTCGAGCCACCGCTCTAGAGGTTCAATTATCTCTTACACTATCACAATTCGTTATGCAACTAGAGCCAACGTTCCTCAACGTTCATAAGTCACAATTCTTTCCACAAACTTTATACAACAAATAGAAACCATCACCAAGGCATGAAAGACACAACGAAGTCATGATAATCACAATATAGAGACTCACGGGCATGCTAGACACCAATATATAGATACTCGTCACCATGACTATACGTCGTACTCAATAATAATCACATAGCAAATAGGACTCAACTCCTAATCCCTCAAGCTAAGGTTAGACCAAACACTTACCTCGATGCCACGAACACAATTCAAGTTTCAATTATAGCTTTACCCCTTGATTCCACCGCCAAATCGCTCGTATCTAGTCACAAATTACTTAGTTACATAAATAAACGCTAATTAAATCAATTTGAATGCATGAAAATGAATTTTCCAAAGTTTTGCCAAAACGTCAAAAATCGCCCCCGGGCCCACGTGGTCAAAACCCGAAGTTCGAACCAAAACCCGATCACCCATTCCCCCACGAACTCAAATATATAATTTGTTTTGAAATTGGACCTCAAATCGAGGTCCAAATCCCCAATTTTTGAAAAACCTAGGTTCTACCCAAAACACCCAATTTCCCCCATGAAAATCCTTGATTTTAAGTTGAAATCATGCTAAAAGATGATAAGAGATGAAGAAAGTTGGTTAAAAACGACTTACAATTGATTTGGAGAAGAAAGGATTCTTGAAAAATTNATGTGTGGCTTGCCTAGCTTCTACGAGTAGGTGCCATCACGACTCCTGAGGGTGGGAGTTCCGGGTCGTGACAAGTTGGTATCAGAGCTCTAGGTTGCACAGGTCTTATTTCTGGAAACATCTGAGAACGTATTCAGTGGCCTATGGGTCTTAGACAGTGTGGTCTCATGCTCAAGTCTCGTGTGGTGAGCCTGGATTGAGGCATTGTGATGCAACGGCGAGGGAGAAATATCAAGTTGATGATGGATCAGAAAGGAAATTAGATAGATGGAATAGCTTGATAGTAGACCGAATCAGTATGGTAAGGATATGATTAATTCTTCGTATATGTTCGAGGCAATGAACTTTTACAGGTATTGTGCAGCAAGGCTCTGAAGTTCTGACAGCTTGCTTAGCTTGGCTTGGGAAGAAGGATTCAGTCCTGGCGATTTAGCTTGTGCAAATGGAATCGGGAGGAAGTCCTGGTTGAGTTCTACCGTGGTTTGGAGACGTATATATAGTCTATGGGCATGCGAAGCATGGAATTTGTAATGATTTCTCTTCTAGATGGGGTCGATGGAGAGTTCTTGACTGGTGGAGTGCGTAGATGTTTGTGGTTAGGAAGGGGAATGGAGTTCTCATGTTATACTAGTGTGGTATGGTATATGCGATATGTTGTGGAAGATTGGGATTCGTGTGTGTAAGGTTACGGTTCAGTTCATAATGGAAAGTCAATAAATTCTTAAGCAGCACGGGCAGCTGCAGGTGATTAAAGAATTGATCTTCAGATGATTAAGGAAATGGTATTGCGATTCTAGTGATTTGATGGGGGTATATGTTCAGTAAAAAGGGCAAGGTGATGTAAACCGATGATGCTACGTTAGTATTGCGATGTTTCATGCTTGATCGACTGCTGATATCTGAGTGTGGTTGATGGCACAGGTGAATTTTAGAATATGGCAGAATAGGCTAAATGGCACTTATACTTGTGCCACTTTGTCATCCCGGTCCCCAAATTTGATGAAGTTTCATCTGGACACCTCTACTCGTTCAAAGTAATATTTTAAACCCCTCTGACCATTGACCAGGTCTATGTGGCAACTTAATCGCTGAACCGAACAAAATCGTGTATTTCACGCATATAAGGAGCGTGAACGTAAAAAATTTATGATTAAAATAAGGAAAAAAAAAGAAAAATTTAAAAAATCAAATTAGAAAAGAAAGAAAAGGCCAAATAGGTGATTTTTCTCTTTCTCTTATGTTCTGTCGCCCACCAAGGACGCCCCCCTCCCCCCTTCACTGTCTCCCTCCCTTCTTCACTTTGCTCCTCTTCCCCCATTTTAACCCAAAACCCACAGCAACGGTACCCTCCCCACCATATCTTCATCCAAACAATGACATCCCTCGTCGCTATAGATCCAAAACATGTACCAGATTTGCATCAATTTTTGGGGAGTTTTTTTTCTCACACCCTATTCCCTACTTTGGAAGATAGCCTTTGCAAAGAAAAGAAATAGAAATAATGAAAGAAGATCGCCGGTGAAACCTATTTTCTAGTTTTCTTGTAGTGAAATTTCAAAAAAATTTGGGTGATGTTGGTCTTTCGGGTGGTCATTATTGATGGCCGGTTTAGCTTTTGGTGGTTGATTGGTGATGCTATGGTGGAATGTTGGCTGTGAAGAAGCTTTGTAGGTGAAGGATGGTCGAAGAGGGGTCGCACACAGTGATGGTTAGGAGATTTTTAAAATTTGTGAATGGAGAATAAAAATGGCGAGGGAGGAGGAAGATGGAGTAAATGGTGGAATAAAAGAAAAGGAAATGAATAATTTTAAAATAATGTGAAAAATAAGTTATAATGATGTATAACAAAAAATTTGACGTGGCCACTGATGTGTCATCCATGTCAGAGATTTGAAGAACACGCGAGGTAAGAGGGGTTTAAAATATTGGCTTTGAACAACTATAAGTGTCTGGATGAATCTTCTTTGAGTATAGGGACCGGGATAACAAACGCTAACAAGTACAAGTGCCTACGAGTCTATTCTGCCTAATATGTTTGCCAATTTTTATATTTTTACTAAATATATATTTACTTATAAAATAAAATCGAAACAATATTTAAATAACAAAAAACCCGAAAAACCCGAAAAACCGAACCAATCCAAACCGATATAGTTGGTTTGGTTCGATTTTGATAAAAACCGAAGCAACCCGGTCCATGTACACCCCTACTGAAAATAAAACACAAGATATCTTTTTGCAAGGTCATTTTCTTCTATTCAAATTGTAAAGGATTATGTCGAACGATTTCCTCCAAATGATATTAAGGATTCTCAACCGTCAAGAAACAGAAAATATCAGAAAATTACATAGCAGTTTAAGTCCTTAAGTTCCAGAAAATTAGTAGAGGAAGCATTTTAAAAAGGGGTGCACTAAGCTCCCGCTATACGCGGGGTCCGTGGAAGGGCCGGACCACAAGGGCAAAAGCTCAAAAGTATCTGTTTCCTGTAATAGATACAACAACAGTTCCCTAATTTCTATGCCTATACATATCAAGAGCACCATTAAATAGGTTCACCCTAAACTACAAAAGTTACAATTCCCTCCAAGATATATGTACAACAACTACGCCTCAATTCGAAACAAGTTGGAGTCGGCTATATCATATTCCCCGAGATATCTGTACAGCATCTAAAAGAAACTGAACCAATGTACATAGCTGTGATTTTTCAGCTATAAAGCAGAGATGGATGCCACACCTTCTTCTACTTTCCTAGTATTGCATGTAGCGCTAGTCAGGATTTTCATTGTTTGAAGTTGGACTTGCATACTCTCCGATGCACTATGCAACAATGTTACTGCAAATGTCCGAGGCTTCTAACTTTTTCGTCCTATAGAACATATGTAGTAAACCGTGATGAACATGGACTATTTGGGTAGCGCAGTGCAAGAACGAAATAAAGCTCTCATGTATCATCGGAATACAAGTCCTAGCAATCATCCTCACATAAAAGCTTCATGCTTGTTCAGATAACAAAACATACCATTTCGTCCAAAGGGTTTCAGCGTCATCAGTTCCTCAGTTGAAGAAGTAGGGCGACTCGAGAACTTCCACTAAATCAAAATCACCTCTTTTTGGTAGAGGGGGAAATATTAATGCTGGATATGAATTCTGGAAGCTTTCGAGCAACTGCAAACAAGATATCATGTATAACATAAGAGCAGTTTGTGAAAGAGAAGCGAATAAGTAATATCAGTTTAAAATACTTACATCTTCAAGAATAGGCATACTGTACAGCTCCACAAACTTTTCGCGGAGTATCCTGTTCATCTGGTCGACATCACATGCATGAGTCCAGAAGGAATCATGTACCCCTACAAGAGATGAGGAATTTGATAAATATTCTCAATTAAAAAAAATGTATCAAACAAGAACAATGCTTGAACGAATAGCAAGTAAATGAACTTTAACACAAGTTTTAGAAGTCCTAATAGTTAGTGAGTTTATATACGACAATGACCATTCCAACATAAGTTCTGTTAAACTTACCCATATGAGTTTGTTTTGCCTGGAGTGAGAATCCCAGATCAAAATAATCTTTTCACGGAAGAGAGATTTACTGTATCATTTTTTACATACCGGTAGCATGCTATAGTAGCCGTGATAGAAAGTGGACTTTTACGACTATCATGACACGCTCCTTCCGGCTAGATTATCAAACTCAGAAACTTGAGCGAGAAAGCATCCTATGTTAAAATTTACACAGTTCTCTTTCTCTTGGCAAAAAGCCAACTCAACATCAAGATATTTTTGAAAGAAGTCCCACCATAGGTCACGGGTTCGAGCTGTGGAATCAGCCACTGATGCGTAGGCTGCCTACATCACATCCCCCTTGGGACCCCCGGATCCTATGTGAACACGGGATGCTTCGTGCACCAGGCTAGCAAAAAAAATCCCACCATACTGAAGTTTACTGACAACAAAACCTTTCTTCATTCGAAGGACTTAAATTTAGGAAACCGTTGCACTAAACTTTTTCACAATTAAGTTCTAGAAACACAATTTCAACTTCTGTATGTTGTATGTAGGCATGCATAATGTGCATATAAGTGGTCAAAAGCTCTATATACTAATAGTTATTATTGGAAAAGAAAAGGGCAGGCAGACCTGCAAACTGTAGTCCAGCGTCCCTACAAGCAACAGCGGTCATCATCATATGTGAACCATCCAGTGAGTGCACAAAATTGGGAGGAAAAGCAGTTCTCTGTTTCCGGACCTCAACCTAGGGTTCAACATAGCAATAAAATAGGCATCACATTTAACTATGAAATCTTAACAGAGAACAACAACAAAAGCATTCATAATAAGTATTACTTACTGCGTCACCCTCACGCTGCAAAGCCAAAACTTGAAGAGAAGTTCTTATCTGCACATATACGGAGTAAAGTATTAGCATGAATAGATGTTGAATGAGTGACTTGAAATTCATAGCCTATTTTTCTGAAGAGGACAGAAGGAGAAACTTCCAAATACTTCGCCTGTCAAACAGAAAAAAGTTTTTTATCTTCATTCAAGGCATATCATGCAGTTGAAAAAAGATCACCATGTCAGTTAATTTCTTATAAATGTCACATGAATTATTCATAATCATTCCTCCTGTGATGTATGCAAAATCCTATGAAGCAAACTCCTACTATTTTGACAGTTAAAATAGGCAACTTTGTTATTGGTGATAACATGTAAAATCAACTTGCAAAACAATATAAGAAACCCCCTCGAATTTATTTAAAAAAAAAAAAAGGTTTCAAGGGAAAAACTTTGTACTTGATTACAAAAGCACTTACAACATGCCGCTGAGTTTTAAAGTAAGGCTGCACAACAGGGAGCCCCAGAGGTGTCGTCCATCGAACTGGCTGATTTTCTGAAGCAATCACCTGTTAAATGTCACTAGTTAAACTTTTGAAGTTAAACCAGACAAGTTTTGAGATTACCCTATTAGTAGTATTAGTTGTATTATCCAATAATAACATTAAATAGCTAAATAAACTGAAAACAAAGAAAGCTAGATAGTCAAAGAAAATTCCTATAGAAAAGAATTAAGGGAAGGGGGAGGGTCCATGGTAGGTGCAAGTTGTATGGACCTTAGCACAGTCACCAAGCCAAGTCATTGTGCCACGTGCCGCTTGAAATAACTCCCCCAAAGCAGCTAATGTCACCTGAGGAGAAGCATGTGAACAAATATATGGTCAAAACATAAAGCTGAATCAGTTAGTCTTCTCTACACTATCAATGGTTTGGTTAGTCCTGCAACAGCCTTGGCAAAAGCTTTTACGGAAATTTTCTTCCTTTTTTTTCTTTTGATAAAGTAAGCTCTTACGACAACTTTTTCTTGGTCAATGGTATGGGTGAAAAAGATTAGAACACCACGATATCCCATTAATGAAGGCAAGACACTTTGGAATAAATGTCTTATATTGTCGTACGGATTCAGTCATGTGAAAATTGGCAATGTCCATACAAGGTATGTATTGATTAAATCAGTAGCAACAATCATTCAAGAAGCAGAACAAGTAGATTCAGTGACCTAAGTTAAAACTAAAGAATATATGACTAGGTAATAGAAACCTGCGAGTAGCTTCCTATAATATTAGACAATCAGTGCTTACTTTGGCAGCATAGCAAGATGCAGTAAACAGCAGCCTATCATCATCGATAAGACCCTTCTCCTCCAATCTTCTTTTGATTTGCTCACGTGCTCCGACATAGGTAACACCATACACTGAGGTCATTACTGTCTGCTTCACCAATTTCCTGTCAACCTGAAAGTCTCGACAACACCAGATATTTTTAATTGGTATAATTTAAAAACTAGAGGCAACAAGCCTAGAAACCTGAAGTTAAAAGAGAGATGATTATGATAATAAGATAGAAAGACAGATAACCAAATGAAAACCTGGTCAATTAGGAGTTTGGCTAGTAAAGCATTAGGATCAGTTGCAGGGTCCTTGATACTATCTCCTCTGATAATATGATCAACCCTGTAATCAATAGTTGTTTTCAACAATCATTAGAGGAAAGAAAATACAAAAAAAATCGCGAATATATTGGTGGTTTAATATGATCACAATTACTTTGTTTGTTATACTCTTTTTTCTTTCTGGGGTAGATAACTGTAACACAGTTGATATAGGTTACGACAATAAAAATATAAATAATGAATGCTAAAAAGTTGTAGCCTTCTGAAAAATCATATGCTCCACATGCAGTAGATAGATCCATCGGTCAAAATATCAAAATAAAAACTTAACTTAAATTCCACAAGAGGGAACCTAGTTTTGACGTGTAACTTAAGAACAGATTTCAGACAGTCTAATATACCTCAGAGCGATTTCAGTATAAACATCAGCTGGTTTATCTCCAGCAACTAAGTTGACTGCTGCTGCCTCCATCTGTTAAAGTTGCAAAACATCAGAAGATGGCATAAAGAGTAACTCTAGCATATAAGAAAACCAGCACAGAAGATAAACATCATTGAACAAGCTAAAGTTGACTAATCATGGAAAGAGTCAAAACAATCAAAAATACGAAATAGAAAAGCAAACATACACTATCTCTTCCCAGAGCTGCATAGTGTTGAAGGCCATTGCATGAACCATCCTATATATAGAATGAAGAGAAAGTTGTTAACATGAACAGAATAGACAAGTTAAATCAGTTTAAAACAAACAAAAAGTCACACCAGAAACCAAAGAAGAACGTCAAATACAAACACTTTCAGCACAAAGACGATGGGAAAAATAAACCGACAATTATTGAATCCTTAAATCAGTGGAATGCAGAGGTAGAGCATGAACTTGAAAATAACTGATTGAGTGGGCATGCCACAGAATAAGGCACTGAAATTTGATGAAGCACGTTATGAACAAGATGCATCTAGAAAATTGGAGGGGTTCAATGACATAGGCATCCAATTTCTCCTCCCAACTAAAACTACATAGCGGAAAGCGGCCACTGACATGGGAAATGAGTTAGGAATTATGAGTGCAAGGTATAGTATCTCACATTTTCAACATTAATTTACGTATCTTATTTTTATCTACAGATTAACTTTTTTTTTACATCCTTTAACCATCAAACCAATCAGATAAAATGGATTTGAACAGAAGACAAAATGTAAGGATGTAAGTATTCTACCTGATGAATAGGCAGGTGGGAGATGACAGTATGTGGTGACGAGCTTTTTAAAGCTTCTGATAGGTTAATGCAAGCTGCTAAGCACTGAAAAGGATCCTCAGCATTTAACCACCATCGATTTCCATTTAGAGGATTGTTTGCTGAATCTAATATGTCATCAATGTGGTTTTCTACAAATGCAAGGCGTGCATCGTAGCAGAGCTTCTCTATTCCCCCTGCATAAAGACTTGCTAAATGTATTTTCAGCCAACGCAATCCTGACTTTCCTAGAGGTCGTCCTTCAGCAAATTCAAGGATTCCCCGACATAGATCCGAGCTCAAATGATTCAAATGAGGATGCATAGGGTATGCACGTCCTCGAAAATCAAGATTGTGAGGATAATAAAATCCTTCCTCGTCTTTCAACTTCCGAGCAACCTAGACCAAAAAGAAAGCCAGCTCTAAATTTACTCCTAAATAAGCAAAGCATAAACAAAGGAAGAAGAGTTCCAAAAAAGAAGACTAACTGAAAGCTTGAGCTCTGTGTCACATCTTTGGGAATGCAACTCTTGGTTGATTTTTTTGGATTTTCGCACCCTCCATTTCCACTTTTTCACTTCCATTATATCATCAGAGTGCAACTCTGGTATGGGAACCTACAAATAAACAATTTCTTGCAATGAAACACAACCTACAAAGGACATCAGGTATTCGAAATGGCATAACCACCGGAATTTCTTTACAGAAACCATCACCTCTACAGCTAAGAGAACTGAACATATTAAGCAGAATAGATCACACGCTAAGCATATGAAACTTATGAAGTATAGAACAACTTTTTGGATACTTATACGGGACAGAAATTTCCAGATAAACTTTTAGAATCAGCCACATAAGATTAAATGGAATTTTAGCAGATTGGTATTGACAAATACTGTAATTCGGCTGTATCTCCTCATAAGACGGTAAAACAAAATTCAGATACTTATAACTAGAACCTAAAAAACAAACAAAAATAGTTTTTCTTATTTTTTGATAAAGTAGCATCGGAAGTGTTTCTTACATCTTTGCGATCCACTAGGCCAGCAATATTTCCGCCTCCAGCCCAAATACTCTCAACCACACTTAGTATCCTTTTATTCACTCTCCATTTAGTGCTTCCTAAGGTATCCAAGGCCTGCATATGAGTGCGGAACAAATTAATACACAGGTCAAAATCTTACAGTATCTGCAGCGCTGTCTATTAGAGCACAATCAGAAGCAGGTTAGTTATCAGCAGCCCCAAGATGGATTCAGTGTATCACTGTTGGAACTACGATGAACAGATTTTATAATTAAATAAAACAGAATGAAAAGAGTCGATTCAGTTGAGCACAACTCGCAGCATTACTTTGCACGACTCGGTTGCTTTATAATCTGGAAGCAATGAAGCACTAAGAATCAAGCTGTCACCTCATAAACTTGCTGCATTTGTTTCGCGGGAACACTTCTTACAGCATCTTGTTGCCTCCTGGATCCATGTGTGCGCATCAAATAGGAGGGCAAGAATAAGTATCCGCCTTTGTCATACCTGAGATAAATATTGCCAGATAGTTAAATCCCGATAAAATTCTCTTGAATGCAGACCTGATCATGTTCTCAGACTGATAAAACCTCTTAACTACAACTAAAACTTAAACAAAGGATCGCAGAGACATTATCGCTAAAAGCTGAAAAAGGATTATACCCTCTCCATTTTTTGGGTGGCACCAACATAGGCACATAAGGAATCATCATCTGTTTAACCTGCAATAAGTAAATATTAGAAACCTGAAGCACAATGTCACATCAATAACGGCATAATAGTCATTAAACTGTCAAGTAATCTCTGATTTTTCTTTATTCGGCAGACCTAAATAAGAAATTCTTTGTTCTTTCTCCCTGGCAGCTGCGCAGTAAACTTGTATTTTTGGCTTTTGAAACATTTTTTAGGTCCTAGGAAATGGATGTGAAGGTGGCGGTATACAGCAAATAAAATAAATCCAACAAGCCTGATGTGACACCAGCATTCTATTTTCATGCAACAGGGGCAATATTGTAGTTTCAATTCAAATTCTTCTTTCCACACAGTTCAAAACCCTTTGACTGGCAAAGAGAACATGCTATCACTTTAACAAGTAAAAGAAACAGAATCCAGCAAGACCTTCTAGCTTATGTACAACCAAAAGAGTTGCAGTACGACTCCTCTTTTGCAGGGTGGCTAAAGTTATACTATAAAATAAACTAACTGAATACTTATAATCATAAATATGGATATGATAAAAACAGAAGAAGTTTGAATAACTTACTGTTCTGTCAACTCCCGCAACAACCAATGGATCACATTCGATGACACCATACTTCTTGACAATGTTCTTCCTGCAAGCACAACAAACAATTTTGTGAAACAAAAAATAAGACACGCAAACAATTTTGTGAAACGAAAAATAAGACACCGAGTCTTCAATCTGGAAGCAACACCTAAGAGCATGCATTTTTATAATAAGAACTTCATGCTAGATAAATCAACTCGGGATAGCTGCTTTTGGCATGTTTGAGTATCAGAGTATACACACAGCTTATCACCAAAATAATTTCTTTAGTGAGATTTTGTTATGATATGATATAGCCGTCACGAATAAGTAGTATGATATTATACTCCTTTAGGATATAACCATTAAAAAGGAAGACGTTCTGACCCCGGATCTCTTGTAGCAATTCTGAATACGTGTCTGAACGCAGGCCTAATATCAGGAGGAGTATCAGCAGACTGATCCACTGGAGGTTGCACATAAGCTGTTTCTGTTAATAATTCTAAAAGCCGGCATCCTAACTGCATGAGATTAAGAGAAGCAGCCACTAAGATAAGATTTTTACCTAAAATGTCGGCCATTAGTAGCTCTCATAGAGAAGAAAGTTGCTAAATAACAAACCTTAGCCTGTGTGTCCCGACCCCAAGACTCGGGTTCTTCACTTTTCATCAGCTTTCTCACCTCAACTACTCGATTTCTTTTAATCAAGCTTTTGACCCGTTTCCTTAGAATCATTGTGTCCCTACTCATATCTTCTTGACTTTGAGCTCCAGTCATATGTTTCTGGAGTTTCTTTGTTTTCTCCAAGAAATTATGAATCCTAACCTGAGATAAAATAAATGCAATCAATTTGCAAATTACTGGCATACCATTGTTTTAAAGTGAAAATAAAATATTGTTTACCCCCATAATAGCACTTACTACTCCAAACAACAGGACAATTCTTGGCTATGTAAATCCCCTAAACAGGCAAATACTATTTAAAGAGTTTGGCACAATAAGACACGGTTTAATTGTGCAAAACTAGCTAAATAAAGAAGCAAATCAAGGAGTTAGAGGGAAGCACATACGTTAAAATGAAATGGTTTTGGCACGATTCCTAGCATTGAGCAGCGCAACTTGAGCCACTCAACACCTTCATAATCAACTGAAAGGTGAACGGAGAGCCATTAAATTAACAGGCGATAAATTTTAATCAGAAATTACAGATACTTCCAGCCCTTCTTATACATACAATTACTGGATGATGATGTATTCGAGTTCTTATAAAAGCATCTCTTTAGTTCCTTTTGTAGCATACTTCCATTACAAAATATTTTGTAAAACACATCATTCAGATGCATAATGTAACACAAAGTCAGATTCATAATATAACACAAAGTCAGATGCATAATATAACACGAAGTCACAAGAGGGCAACAAAACGGACATTTTACAAAATGCAACACTCACTTCATTCTCAACTGCCATGCCAATTTGCACCGCAGCTTGGACGACCTGAACACACCTCTCTTCTTTACCACCCATCATCAGCAATCCCATCAACTTATGCATCACAATTACAGCCATTTTATCAGCAGGCAAAGAATCAATATGTGGCGCAAACGCTGCCCTATGTTTCACGGTCGTCTTAGCATTCTGCTCCTTCTCTATAGCTTGTCTCAGTGGCTCAAACCAACCCAATAACAGTTTTTTAACATAAGGCAAATTGGGTGCTAGTTTCTTCTCACACATTTCCCTCTCCAACTCCCTATATTCCTCCACCATTTGCTCCCAAGCCTCTGTTTCAGCCTTTATTTGCCTCCTCCTCAACATAGCATATCTTCTCCTTCTCTCAATTTCTCTAAATTCCCTTCTCACTCCTCGTACCTGATCGAAATCATTCACTATATAAGTAAAGGGACACACAAACAAATCAATGATCTATTTAATAAAAATCTTTATTAAATTGAATAAACAATTATTTTAGAATAAATGCTACTCTTTTGTCCCATGTTATTTACTAGGCATGAAGCTTAAGAAAGAAAGACTACTTTCAAAGTTAGTGGTCTAAAACAACATATAAATATTTACTTGGCTAAACAAATCATCTCATATTATAGGTAAACTATATTTGTACAGCTATAAATCACCTCATTAAACGTAAAACGGGAAGTTTATAGTTAAATTATTTCTAAATATATCAAGATATCATTCTTTTTTTGGACAAACTAAACCGTAAGTGCATCACATAAATTGGACAAAAGAAATATATCTAAATGCATAGTTAGTACTTATTTGGCTCTAACAAACAAATTATTCATAACAATAGCACGGCAAAGACATTTGTGTGGCTATAAATCATCTCATTAAGGATAAAATGAGAATTTTAAAGTTAAATTATGTTAAATATAGAAAGGTGACATTTTTGGAACATACTAAAAAGGAAATTGTGATACATAAATTGGTACAAAGGGAGCATATCTAAAAGCATGGTTAATAGTATATATCGGAACATTACCTGTTTAGCTCTAACAAACACACTATTCATAAAAAGTGAAGAAACCCAAGGTGGGTCTTGAATAAAAACTCTCTTATTTGATTCTTTATTCAAAAACCCATTTGGGATTTTCTGCAAATTCACCAATTCTTCAAGATTCTCATCTGTGGATACACACACTGTTGTTTGGGACTGAATATTATTAATTGGTATTTGAATTACAGGTAATTTAAGAGTTTTGGGAAATGAAGAAGTGGAAAGTGATGAACTTTGAGATAATTTTCCAAATTCTTGATTGTGAATGACATAAAAATTGAATCTTTTTGGGAGTTTTTGAGTTCTCCATTGAGATGTTGGACTTGGAGAGTAAGAAGCTGTAGAAGCCAGCTTTAATGGTGGTGGGTGGGGGGGTGGGGGGAGGGGGGTGGGGTTGTTTAAGGAGAAGAGAAAGAAGATAAGGTAAAATGGAAGGGAAATGGAAGAAGATGAAGTGAGTAAAATTTACAAAAACAAAAACCTCTGCTAAAACCCTGAGGTTCTATGGCTAGTTGTAGGGATATGATATTTTTGCAACTTCTTGCAATTTGTGTATGCTCTTTTTGTCTTCTTCCTATATATGTGGCCAGAAAAAAATTAATATCTCAAATAATTTAATTAAAAAAAATAGAAAAAGGTAGATGAAGGTATAACTTTTTTTTTTTTTATAATTGTGGTGTGCGGACCACCTTGCACGCACCTTGATTAATTCGATAGGATACTTGCCACTTTCCACCAGCAATAACTACCAGATAACTCTATCTATTAATGCTTGGATAGATGAAAGAAATTATCTAGTATATTTTGCCTTTATAACTTAAAAGTAGCTGATGATGTAAAGAAAAATTTACACTGGGAATATGTATAACTTAAACCTTTTCTTTTTCTTTAGAATGACAGAAATGGAATAATACTGTCCATTAATGGCTATACAATTTTCTAGTGCCCCAAATTTTATCACAAGCTTGAATAATAACCTAAATAGTTGTTCATCCAACAGCTTAAATTAAAATTAGTTGACAGAATTTTATATATATATATATATATATATATATATATCATGTGTATAATTGTGTTTAATTTATGTATATCGACTAAAAGTGTAAATAATAAATTTGACTGATTATTTGTGTAAAGATCTCATTCTAATATTATAATGCTACAAATAAAGGGTGGAGCTAATTAAAAATACACTGTTTTTGTATTATTCTTTTGTGTTGGTGTAAACATCCGTTTATTCGAAACATATTTGACTAAAAAACGTAAACAACAAATTTGACTGACTATTTATGTAAAGATCTCATTCTAATATTATAATGCTACAAAAAAAGGGTGGAGTTAATTAAAAGATCACACTGTTGTTTGTATTATTCTTTTATGTTGGTGTAAACATCCGTTCATTCGAAACTTATTTGATTCAGGCTAATTCGTATTGTGTAAAACTCATTAAAAGGTTAAATTCTTTCTATTAAGAGTTTATCCCTTCTTTTATTTAAAGTGGCCAAGATTTAAATACACCTTAGGGTTTTGGGAGTATTTTAACACTATTGTAAACATATGGGATATCAAGAATTGAGAGCAATCATTTAGAGGGGGAAGTGCACGGTTGGCCACTAATAACACATGTATTTACTTTTAAGCTACCGTTTAAAATGTCTTTAGTCTTTAGCCACTGCATTAATAAACTTTAATTGTCCGGACGAAAATACCCTTCTGCTCATGTCCTTAACTTCAGGACTTCAGGATTACATGTCCTTAACTTTTGAACTTGGAACTCTAAGTTCAGGACTTCAGGACTACATGTCCTTAACTTCTGAACTTCACGACTACATGTCCTTAACTTTTGAACTTGGAACTCTAAGTTCAGGACTTCAAGGCTACATGTCTTTAACTTTTGAACTTGGAACTCAAACTTCAAGACCAAGCGTCCTTAACTTTTGAACTTGTAAATCAAAGTTAAGGACCTATTGTCCTTAACTTTTGAACTTGTAACTGTAAGTTAAGGACTGCTTGTCCTTAACTTTTGAACGTGTAACTGTAAGTTAAGGACTGTCTATCCTTAACTTTTGAACTTGGAATTCAAAGTTAAGGACCTATTGTCCTTAACTTTTGAACTTGTAACTGTAAGTTAAGGACTGCATGTCCTTAACTTTAGAACTTGTAACTGTAAGTTAAAGACTGCTTGTCCTTAACTTTTGAACTTGTGTCCTTAACTATTGAACTTAACTTTAGGACTTCAGGACTACATTTCCTTAACTTTTGAACTTGAAACTCTAAGTTCAAGACCATGTCCTTAACTTTTGAATTTAACTTTAGGACTACATGTCCTTAACACAATTACCAAAATTCATTTTCATAAAATGGTAAAGGGTCCCATCAACTAAATGGAAACAGTATAGTCAAAACCACGACATATAACAGATAATAACTATCAGATTAATTAAAACCTAAAGCCTAAAAGACAACAAGAACCTAACCAACCAAAAGAAAAAGAAAAAGAAATAAAGTTGGAGAAGTGGTCTGTAACGAGGAAGTGGTTTGCCTTTGGGTTTGGGAAGTGGGATGAAATAGAAGAAAGGGTAACTTCGTCTTTTCGTATTAATTTTAATAGAGTAGTAGCTATTTTTGTTCAGCATTAAAAATGTTGGATAAAAAGTAAATACCACTTTAAAAAGTGGCTACCCCACGCCATTTCTACTCATTTAGAGTAGCATTACCTTATCTCTAATTCTTGCACCCATAGGTGCTATTTTATGTTTTGTTATAGTTATGTTGAATTTCTATCTTTGCACAAATAGCCAGTTACATTCACAGTTTACTTTGGGTTGCCGGTCACATTCATTGTTAGAGGGGCCATTTTTCTCATTTTCTCCATGCTTCTTCAATGCAAAAAAAAAAAAAATTACTCATTCTAATATTATAATGCTACAAATAAAGAGCGGAGCTAATTAAAAAATCACACCGTTGTTTGTATTATTCTTTTATGTTGGTGTAATCATCCAAAACCATTTGATTACGATTAATTCGTATTCACTTCATGTATAGCTCTTTTTTTTTCTTCTGGTAATTACATGTATAGCTCATTAAAAGGTTAACTCTTTCTATTAAGAGTTTAGCTTTCCGTTATTTGAAGTGGCCAAGATTTTAATACACCTTATCTCTAATTGAGAGATAAGGGTTTTGGGAGTATTTTAACACTATTGTAGATAGGGGTGTCAATGGATATTCGAAAACCGACTAAATTGACCGTACCTGTCACGACCCAAACAGAGGGCCATGACTAGCACCCGGCCATACTTACCGAGTACCAACATACATTTTATCTAACCTTCTTTATTATCTTTTAGGGCTGACGAAATCAATATAAATGGTAGACATGGGTCATGGACAACCAACAATAAAATATGATGGCATGAACATACATAACATGGGATGACTAGACAATCAAGAAACTATATATAAGGTACGAGCTACCACACTACCATGAGAGACTATACAACAAAAACCAGCCGACAAGGCCTACCAAACTATACATGAGTCGACACCTGTCTATGAGCCTCTAAAGGAACATAAGTGTTGCAACATAGCCGGAACGGGGCCCCGACATACCCATAATATCTATAACAAAAATGCATACCAAGACCAAGGCAAGTCCGAAGAAGAGATCTCGCCAATCACCGCTGAACTGGACAGCCTACTATGGTGGGGGAGCTGCGCCTGCCTGTCTATCAGGACCTACAGCACGACATGCAGCATCCACAAATAAAAGGACGTCAGTACGAATAAAGTACTGAGTATGTAAGGCAGGGAACCATAAGTACGAACAGTAATGTAAGCAGGGATAGAGAATAAACAACCTGTAACATCTGGGTACCTCTAAGGCTACTGACATGAAATGCGTAATACATATGTATATATACATAAACTTTTAAAACATACGCCTCTGTGGGCATCATCATCATCATATCGTACCCGGCCGTAATAGGCTCGGTAAAAACGTACCCGGCCACGTGGAGCTCGGTAAAACCCAACTGATCAGTGGTTGCACAATAGGTGCCATACCCGGCCGACTATAGCGCGGCTCGGTAGAGTAAAATAGATACATATATATAATGCATGCTCGACTCATGAACTCACGTTCTAAACCTTTCGGAGTGACGTAAGGTCGGTATCCTCTGTACACGTTATTAGGACTAACTCTTCACCATGAACCTTAAAATCAGGAAGTACCAATAACATTGATAACATAAGAATAAGAGAAGCAACATCAACATCAATATTCCATAAGAGGGGAAACAATGTAAGTACCGCTAGCTTCTAAGAGTAGAGTATCTTTGGAAGCTCGTTCATTACATTATGTACAATCGGAGTCGTGCAAAAGAAGGAAAGGGATAGCCTCACATACCTTGTATATACTGCCCCAATCTCAAGCTATGCAATTTTCACGACCCCTTAGTCTACAATAAGAGAAACGGTACTATAGTTACCCTTCAAGCGTCATAACTATTATGTATCGACCACAACCTATTTTACGATGAAACGGACAGCACCTCCCCTATATATATGACTTCACACAATTCCAAACAATCACCAAACAGCCCAAACAACATCAATAATAATCATATTGAGCATCCCAAAACAGTCCACCAACCGATAATATTACTACCAAGCCTTTCGATATATATTTCACAAGTTCTAGCTTCAATGACTTAGCCGTAACTTGGATAATCTTAAATACATATAGATTAAGAGGTTCCTTACCTTTATACAGAAAGAACAACTCCAATTTGACCTTAATTCTCCACGAAATATCCCTCCAATTCTGCCACAACAACAAGGAAGCGAAACTAGCAATCAATTAGTGTTTCTTTTTGGCACTAGAATCACTTTAGAAGGCTTGAAATCACCTAGGGTTGATATTAAGAACTTGAGGGAGTATTTACAGAACATAAACCCTTTAAAACAACCTCCCACACGAGCTGGAACAACACAAAAATGAGCAACAACAAGAAGAACAAGAGACTTACTAGCGCCACGGGATTCCCGACACTTGATTTGTGTTGTTTGCCCTTTGTTTGGGTCTTGAATCTTGAGAGAACCTTGAGAGGGTGTTCCTAGGGTTCTAAGGTCTGAAAATAGTGAAAATAAATGACTTAAAACGGGTTGGAGGCGTCCTATATAGATCCAAATGTCTTAAACCGCCTAAGTGGGTCCCATAGAGAGGTGTTTGGCGCAGTCTCGCGAAAACGCAAATATCTCTCTACTCCAATGTCGTATTGATAAAAGGTTTAATGCATTGGAAACTAGACTCATAAATCTTCAATTTGGTGGGTAGATCACCCCGTAATTCCAAGTATATTGGGAGAAAAGCTTAATAACATTTGACCTAAAGTTTAAGTAAAACTATGAACTTAAGTTGCAACAACTCTTGTCGACTTTTGTTTCATAACTCGTTTGACTTCAAGACTATGATACGAATATTTTATGATTCATATACCTTAAAATACGACCTCTTGAGAGTATTAAGCACCCCTAGGTTTACC